AAAAAAAGATATCTCGGCTTGAGATCATAATAAGGTTATCACAATCAGAGTAAGATGCATAACAAGGTTAAAAAATGTTGAAATGAAGTCACATGAAACTGCTGAAATTGTTCAAAAAATTAACAAAGCTTAGCTTGAGATTCCTGACAGATTATTTTTCCAGCAAGTGTGTTGAAAATTGTTGGAGTTAGCAGGGAGTTTGAGACACAGTGGAAGTACAGCTAGTGGTTTCATTAACGTTTTCAGCAAGGGGGCAACTGGTTTTCACAGGCGGGCAAAAGTTTTTAAGTGAATGTATTTATAAGAAGAACTTTCCCCTAAATGGTCAAACCAGGCAGGCAGAATCGTTCTGACAGGTGGTCAGTTTACCTGATGCACGGCCCTTAATGAAATCCCTGACAACTGTTAGTTTAAGATGGCAGGGTCCTACTGTAATTAATGGACAATATGGCCGACAGTGTCATATGTGGAATATTGCTCTCTTGGTGTTCAATTGAACATTCTTGTAAGTTAAGCATCATCTCTTAAAAACTTTCAGTGATGTATGCTTCCCTCACATGTATCTTAATTATTCCTTAGTAATAGAAACATCTCAAAAGTTCGGAGACTTAGATTTGCCAATCAAGTAACAGTATTACTAAGATTGGCCATACTGTTAAATAATATGTTTACTTATTTCCTGATCTATCCAAGGTCGTGGCAGAGGTGATGGAGGATTTGTGAGACAAACATCTTACGAAGAATCCAGGGGCGAAGGTGGAGGGGGCTTTGGCCGTGGCAGTGACACTCGTAGACAAGGATGGAATGAGAACAGGTTTGAACATTACTTGGTACTTTGTATAATTGTTAAAATCTTGTTTCAAGAACTGTTGAATTTTGCAAACATAAATGTGGTAAAGTTCTTAAAGTAATGCCCCTTATTACTTTAAGACTTTGTAGCGGTTTCTTATTTTCAAATTTTTGTGTCAAAAATGTCCCCAAAGGCATGATTATTTGTTTTACAAAAAGAGATCAAAAGGATCAAAATTGAGACTGTAATTTATATAACAGTAGAATTGAATAATATATTGTCTCTGTGACAATGGTTATCTAAAATAAACATCGGATAAGTTTGGAACAGATTGTCGTATCTGTTATTTCCATTGTTTCATAACAACAGGTCAAGCTGCACTTGATGTTGGTACTTTTAGATTGTTATTACTTTGGAGCTCATAACTCTGAATTTTTTGGAGGCTCACTACTTTTGAGAGGGTGTTACATGTATGTTCAGAAAACAGTATGAATTCAAGATTATTGCCCACAAATATGTATAAACTTCAACACATAATTTATCAGTTGTCTATAAGATCATGCACTTGTCCTAGGGACATGTATTTCTTTGTCTAGACTTAACACTTCGTGCTTTGACCACTTTCAACTACAAGCAATATATAATGCCATTTGTGTCATTTATGTTTATAGTCGTGGAGGCTTTGAGAGATCACCAAGCCTCAGAGAATCAGGTTTGGTGTTTTTGTTTTCCACCTAGAGGAGACTTTTTTGTTGTACATGCACTGTACTGTATAAAGTGAACTTTGTTTTGTTAACATCGTTTTAAGGAGAAGTTTATATTTATTTCCTTTCATTTCAGGTCCTTCTGGTCCTGGTAGAGGAGGGTATGATCCATCACTAGGTCGACCTCGCCTATCAAGTGACACTTCTTGGGAAAGACCTGAGAGAAGATCAGATAGCAGTAATTGGAGAGCAGGGGGAGAAGATGAGGAGGGGTGGAGAATATCAGGGCAAAGATCTGCTGACAGATCTGACAGATGGAGAGGTATCTAGAAGAAAGCTTGTTGTTACATTATTACCATTATCAAGTGCCCAGGATACTGATGTTGTGGTTGGCAGTACAAAGGAACTGCTAGAGATCACAGAGGCTTGATCAAGGTTCTGTCTCTTTTTTAGGTGGCTCTTCCAGAGGCAGAGCACCCTGGCGTGGGGGAACGGAAACATATAGAGAACGAGGTCATCCTGACGATGAATGGCAAACAGCCCGGGGCAGTCGTCGGTCTTATCACGATCATGAAGACGTTCGGTGGGGCTCATCAAGTGAAAGACTTCCCGAATGGAGTAATGATGATAATGACGATTTTACAACACCGGGGACGTTCGATTCTTCAGGGGCATTCGTATCAAAGGTAATTCTTTTTTGACTCCAGATCAGCTTTTGAATTCTTGCTGCATGTACCTCTTTTCATGCATTTTGTTAAAATTGCTTTGTTTTCTTCAGCAAAAGGAAGAAAGAGATAGAAGTGAAGCTGAGACAAAAAGTGATGAAAAAACTGAAAATACAGAGAAAAATAGGAAAACTCAGGTGAGTTGACCAAAATTACTATACTATGATTGTCAGTTGAGTAAGGGGCGATGGAGCCTTGGTGACGAAGCTTTGGTTGCAAAATTACAATGTTGTTGTGGCAACTTTCCTTGTCTCCAATGGTAACAATATCAACAGCCATGCATTGCCTACAATTTCACACACTTTGCTGCTAATGACAAAGGTCAAAGCCCGACAAGTTGTGACTGGAAATGGAGCCAGTTGCCTGTGACAAGAACTCGACTTAAACTTTAAAACTTGGTCACCATACTTCCATCATGCCTCATCAACTGATAGTCGTAGTAATGTGTGAAGTATTGGCTAGATTTTGTGGGGAGGTATTTGCTGTTTGATCTGAATTCTTGGTTAGGAGTACCAAGTATAGCCTCGTACATTAACTAGTGGAGTATTAGATTTGATATTGACTGACTTTTTATTGTTTTACTTTTGACAGTCGGAAAGTGATACTGAAGAGCCTGATGTATGGAAAGAAGAAGAGCAAGGTGAAGTCTATTATAAATTCATGGATACAGCTTGTGACATGATGATGTTGGTCTTAATTTTTGTCTTGTTTATTTATGTCATGATCAATGTGTACAAAAAAAAAAACAGGCCAGCATTTTCTTTATTTTGTTAATATTGGTATTTTATTTTTAGGGACGAGAAACACCAGTGAAGGGAAACCTACAGAAACACCACAATCACAACCGCCAGTATCACAATCACCTTCCACAGATGAAGCATCTGACTCCTTAAAAAAGCCCTCTTCATCCTCCATTTCTTCTTCTCCTTCACCACCCCAGACATCTACTTCACAAAACAGAACACCAAATTCCACACAGTCTAATCCACCTAGCAAACCTGTGTCAGTAGAGTCCTCCTCGCAGGCTCACGTCTCACCACAGCCTCACATCACCATGCCATCCCCTTCACTGGAGCAAGACACAGGTGTTAGGAAAGATGAAGAACCCAATATGGAACATTTTGCAAAAGCAGCCGAAAACCTTGTAGCTTCTTTGGATGATGACGATGATGAAGAGGTAATTTTTTTTTTTTTTTTTGTGAACACTGTAAGTTGCAAAATGTAGTTCAACTACCACTTGAACAATGTGACTATGTTTCATGTTGATGGTGACAGGGTTTTTCGTAGGCACAGTGACCCCGCAAAATTACTATCTTGAAGTTTCTGAAACATCGACATGTATGGTATCAGTATGGATTTTCTGCTTCAAATCCCTCATTTACAGTGTATTTTGCAAATGATAATGGGAACATGCAAAGATTGACAGTTTCCGAACAATAACAACTTATTCAGGACTCATTCAAATGGTTAGAATTTATTATTTACATTAGGATACTATGTACAATAATTTAGTTGGGTGTTTTGGTTCAGGAGGATTTAAAGGTTGTTGAACAGACAACGACACAACAGCAGCAACAGGAGTACCGTAGCTCCCCACCGACTCCAGATGAAGTACAGTGGAGTTACACTGATCCACAGGGAAAAGTACAAGGTAAGTCAGCGTCGTCGAGAAACAAAACATTCAATTTTTTTCCTCCCAAGGATATTAAGAAAAGGTAAGGATTCTGTGATATCAAGTTCTGAGAAAATGAAAGTAAAGCATGTCACAAATTAATCATTTGATAAGTGTTGTTATGGGTTTGTAGAAAATTTCTCCCATTTGTTGTTTCAGAAAATGCCCTGCCCATCCCTCTGGAAATTCCAGTTATTGTTTATACTTTCCTTTAAAAAAAATTGACTTTTGAGAGCCACTTCCCCCTTGGAATGTTCAATAACTGTCCTTCTGGTGGGTATTGATATATTTTGCACAAATATTTTGCACAATGCACAAATATTTTACAGAATTGTCATTCTTGAACAGGTCCATTTTCCAACTCTGAAATGGCCGACTGGTTCAGTCATGGATACTTCACAATGGGGCTGCTTGTTAAACGAACCACTGATGAGGCTTTCCAGCCACTCGGTGAGGAACAACTCTTAAATAAACATGTTTGGTTACTTTAATTTGTGTTGTTGGAGGCTAGGGACCAAGTGGTATAAGTCTATAGTAATGGGAATTGCTGTGTTCTTGCAGGTGAAGTTATTAAGCAGTGGGGTAGAGTGCCCTTTATTCCTGGTCCTCAGCCACCACCCTACAAGGTAAATAAAAGCGATATTTAGTATTGTGACTCCAGCATTTAAAGGAGGAAGAGGCAAATTCATATGGCATACTTGATACAAAAATTAACAGAATTGCATGAAAGTGCAGCTCAATGGCTTTCACTTGAATGGTGAAAATGGAATTTAGAATTTATAAACAGTTAAATTCATAAAATTCATAAACAGACTGAGTGTTAGAAACATCTTGTACAATACAATAAACTCTACCACGTGAAAATTGCCTTGCCAACACTTAGGTAGATTTACTTGGTAAATTAATTCATTTGAAAGCTTAATTCCTTTGAAATGAGATTTTCTTTCAGCGACCAATGATATTATTTGTATATATTTAGGGTGTCCCCGAACACATCCAGCGACAACAGCAGCAGATGATAGCGCAGCAGCAATACCAGCATCTGATGCAACAACATTACCTTCAACAGCAGTTGTTTCACCAGCAAGCTCTCTTGATGCAGGTACACTTATTTAGACACAAGGGAACAGGGGGTCAGAGAACAGGGGGATGGGAGAACAGTGGGATGGGAGAACAGGGGGATGGGAGCACAGGGAAAAATTAACACTGGACAACTAAACAAGAATTGAGTGCAACCTTCAGAACTCTTGTCCTCAGAGAAAAAAAGCTTCTTCGACCTATTGGTTCTCTTATCATGGACTAATTGCTGACAGACCACAACTGTGCTTCTAATGTCCTTGAAGGGGAGAATTTTAATTATTCTCTATTGTTTTGCATAAAAATATCTCAATTTTGAGGTTTCTGACAGGTATCCTAGGCTTGTAATGTCTGCTTTACTGGGACATGCCCTTGTTTTCTTTGAGTAATAGTCAGCTCTTTGGTGCCTCATTGACTTTTTTGTTAAAGGAAACTTGGGCTGTGATAATCGTTCAACAACGTCCTCACAATGCTACATGGACAGACACATAATAAGAACTAAGAGATTATTGTCTTGATATATCATTGAATTCTCGGAACTAACTTCAAATGGGATGCACAGTTAGTAAAGAGAACATAAATTTTGATATTGTGTTTGAAAATGATGAAAATTTTTTATCTTCTTCTCTTCTTTCAGCAACAACAACTCCAGCACAGCCAACAGCAAATGCAGCAAATCCAACAGCCACCTCAACATTCCCCTCCTCAAAATACGTCACCATCCAGTACACAACACACTCAACCACAGGCCAAACAGGGGGGTGCACACCACCTGGAACAACAGCCCCAGCCAGCAAGACCTCAAACCCTGTCACCGCACACAGAATCTATCTGGGGTACTGGAACATCATCACAAGCTTCCCCGTGTAAGTGTTGCAGTGTGTCACTGAATCTACTTGTACTGTACCTCTTTTCCTAAGCATTGCTTAGGTGCTGGATTAAGTCGCTGCTTAACAAGTTTTGCTGCCAGCATTTGTGTGGGACTGGCGTATCTCATCGCTGCAGTAAATCTGCTAGCGTGGTATCTTGTAAAGATGCATGTTGCAGATACTTGTTGTTTGTAATAAAAGTCTAAACTGATAGTTTGTTTTTCCTCCTTGTCAGCTATCATTTCACCTGGCCCATGGTCCCCTGTTACAACAACTTCAGCTGGAAAAGGATGGGATAGAGAGAACAGGTAAGCAGAAATGGTAATTTGACATGTATGTAACCTAACCTAGTGGCTTAGGAAGACTCGTGTGTCACTCCAGTTTCTATAGCATGAACCAGTTCAGAGAACTGTTACTACTTTCCCACTAAGGGGTTGTTTTTTAAGTTCTCTCAAAATTATAACTCACCTTATTTTGTGAATTCTAATTGAAGTTCTCTTTGCTTTCCAGTCAGCAGAATGTTCCATCATTTGAGGAAATTCAGAGAATGGAAGAAGAAAAAGAAAAACAGACTAGGGTAATACGACATAGTTTAGTTACTGTAGATTTTAATGTAGTCATACCTACACCATGTTCCTCTTGATCCGTAAAAACTAAACATATATTACTAGAACTAACCAGTGGAGCTGGGTAAAGAGTATTGTCAAGACTTGCAAGTAATGCTGCACTAACTAAATAAACATTATCATAACAGATTGCGAACATTAACGAAACAGGGAATAACTCCGAGTCGTTGCCAAAACAATACTTCATTGTTTTAAATTAGCACATTTGCTCCTTATTTTACCTCTCTTACATTTTTTCACACTTTCTTTTTGCATATACTTGTATTTTTCACCTCGCCTTTTCACATTTCAGTTTTTAAAGGTTTTAGACTGGAAGCTGAAGGCTTACGTTTTAAAATTCTTACTTGTAGATGGAAATTGAAAGAAGGGAAGCCAAGGCACGAGCACTGAGACTGAAACAAGAGGAAGAGGAAAGAAGACGCTTGCAGGAGGCAGCCTTGCTGAAAAAGCAACAGGAGGAAGAGGAACGACGTCAGCTGGAGGAAGCAGAAAGAAGGAGAAAGGAACAGGACGAACTCAGAAAGGTTGGGTGCTGAAAATATGTTAGTTGTAAAAAATTTCAAGCGATTTTGATTTCAGACGAAAAAGTGTCCAAAAATAAAACCATCTGAAACTTTTAAGCGTCCGAAATATTTGTAGGATAGTATAAAACTTTTAAACACCAAAGCTCCCAAGCCGTTAGTTTCAAGTGACAACTTTAAAAGAGTGAAGAGCCTCGTATAATCTTGTTCTTGCAGGAGTATACATCGTCATGTGATTGTGAAACCCGATATCTAACATTCAAACTTTGCTCTCGGAATGGGTGATTTACTTTGGGAGACTTAATTTGCCCTGATAGAGTTACTAAGCGTTGCCACAAAAACCAGCTATTTCAATTTAATGGAAACTTGTACGAACAAGTCGATGGGGTCGCGATGGGATCACCATTAGCTCCTCTTATGGCAAATGCGTTCATGTGTTCAGCTGAAGAGAAACTAGCGCGTGAGAACAAGCTTCCGAGTTTCTACAAGAGATAGGTGGACGACACGCTGGCTCTGGTACGCGACCTCTCCGACGCCACCGATTTGCTGACATGTCTTAATGAAGCCCACCCCTCCATTCAATTTACGATGCAAGTAGCAACCAACGATCGATTGCCATTCATTGGCATGGAAATCATCAAAATCGACGGCAGCCTTGAAACCCGTGTTTACAGAAAGAAAACAAATAAAGGGCTCCTTCTGCTCTACCAAAGCCATGTTGACAGCCGGTATTTCACGGCTAAGAACAATGTTAGACCGCGCAAAACGCTTGTCGTCTACGCAAGAATTCCTTTCGCAAGAATATTTTCAAAATTAAAATATCCCGAGAAGCTCATTGACTCAGCTATCAATCGCCTCCAGCATCGTGCAGACCCAGTTCTAACACCATCCGACAGCCATTTAAAGATCAGAAATCGGCTGACGTGGTTCGCAGACAACTTGGCCACCTCGGAACGAAAATTAATCAGCAACTGCAGCCAGTGTTCACGAACAAAAAGATCGCTGATCATCTGAGAGTCATTGAAAAAAGCCTCCCCTGATAAACCAGCAAAGTGTAGTATACGAATTCACATGTGATTTGTGCGATGCAAATTATATTGGGTACATTTGCCGCCACCTCCATCAAGGCGTAGAGGAACATAAACATTCGGTGATCGGAAAACATTTTAGGGTCGAGCAGGCCTTAACACCTGACAACATAATTACGAACTTAAAGTCCTCAAGAAATGCCGTGACAAAATCGAATGTTCAATCGTTGAAATGCTGTTGATTAAAAGCAAAAGACCAAAACTGAACACGGAAGCGGATTCCATTCGCGCGGAACCTTTTAGATGAATGTTTTCATGTAACGTTTGCTTATTTCATTTTCTCACATCCTACTCCTAGTACTATAAATATGCCTTGCCGTTATTTTTAATTTATTCATTCGACAATGATGACATGAAGTCGTCGAAACGTCATGTAACTTTACTTATGTTAATTTTCCTGCTTAAGTGTTTTTCGAAATCGTTTTTTAGAGGAACTTAATTTGCTCTAGGTTAAACTTAATATTCAAAAACCTTAATTTGCCTAGTCTGTCCACAGATGGGTTTTTTTATTTGCAAGCAACAGGAGCGATCACGAAGCAGGTAGAAAAAAAATTTAAATAGTTTGGATGGCTGATGTCAGGTAGTGAAAGTTCTTTCACATCTGGCAATACCTAGCCCAGTACTCTTGCATCTCTTCTTCTCAGAAGCTAACAATAGGCTATTGATATTCATGTCCTTAAGAAACAGCAAGAAGAAGCAAGAAGGAAACAGGAGGAAGACTTGAGAAGAAAACAGGAACAGCAGGAAGCTCTCCGGAAACAGGAACACCAACGGCAGCAGATGGAGCAACAGAAACAGAAAGAGGAACAAAAGAGGATGAACGAGTTACGACAACAGCAACAGCAGGCTCTGTTGCGACTTCAGCAACAGCAGCAGGAGCTGCTGAGAAAGAAAGAGATGCAACAGAAAGCTGAAATGCAGCAGCGAGAATTACAGCAGAAGTTACACCAGAAGAGACAGGAGAGTCAGGTAAGAACATTCAATTTAATTAATAACGTAATATATCAAGAGATCAAGAGCGGTATGGTTTCAATACCTGATGGGCTTGTGGTTAGCCTGCAAACATAGACAAGTTGCAGCTTTTGTTTCATATATTTTTTCGGAGCTTGAAACGAACTCCAGAAACTACATCATTCTGTGTTTGCAGGCTAGCTCTTGGGTTGTTGAGAAAGTTCTTCATATAATCAGCTTCTAATCTGCCGGAGTAATCCAAATCAGAAATGGTCATGTTTTTGTGAAAAAATTTACGGTTGGCCCATCAGTGAGGCTTCCACTAACAGAAAAGTGTGCACTTGTGTTTGTGTGCAGGCCAATTTTGGCTTAGTTGATTAAATTATTCCAACTGATGTTCAAATTATTCAAAATAGTACCACTAGAAATATATGGAAGAAAGTTAGGAGAGATCAAGGCTGTAATACTAACTTGGTTCCTGCAATGAAGCCATGTTTGGAAATAGTAGCTGTGCAGATCTAGTACTAAGACAAAATGCCAGTGTTGTACATCAGCCTGTGAAGAACTAATAACTCGACACTTTTTATAGGTGTCTGGTGGATCTCTGTGGGGTGCTCCTACTCCTGTATCAGGGACCATGTCAATTGCTCAGATTCAACAGCAAGAGGAAAGGGACAGACAGCAGCGAGAACTTAAATTACAGCAGCTCCAAGCTCAACAGCGCGAACAACAGGCACGGGGAGTGCCAAGCTGGGCAGAGAGGCCTGCTGTGGTGAACCAGCCTGTCAAGTCATTGCTGCAGATTCAACAGGAACAGGCACAACAACAGAATAAGAGACAACAGGGACCTGCGCTCTCTAGATCACAGGTGAGGAGGGAGAAACAGAAACTATGAACATTTAATGGCAATATTTAACCGGAAGCTGTGAATATTTAAAGGCAATATTTTTTTCTTGAAATAGGTATGAAGATCCTCTTGGGGAACCTAATAAATCTTATTGTATTCTGTTGTGAGCACTTAATTATTACTCCCACAAATTGCTCTCTCTCTCTCCAGTTGCGAGCACGTTATATTTTTTGTTCGCATTTTAGTTGACTGCAGTGAAACAAACGTACTGTGCCACAAACATACTGGGCCTAATGGTTAGCATGCTTAACGCAATATAGAGCAGTCCGGGTTTGAGCCCTGGCTGGGGTCCTTGTGTTTTGGGTAAGCCGGGCACTTTACTCTAACAGTGCCTCTCCATCCAGATGAATAAATGGGTACTGCCAAATTTAATGCCGAGGGTAGCCATGCAATACACTAGCATCCCATCCAGGGGAGAGTAGAAATACTCTTGGCTGCTTGATTCTACAGAAACCGGGATAAGCTGTGGTGATATGGACCACTGTGCCACATGGCACTTTTTCTCAATCTTTAATGAAGTATTTCGTCTTTTCCCTTTTGCTGTCCGCCGTTAGCCCAGTCACAATCCTCTGAGTTCCTCAGTCTGGGGAAATACTGGCCATCTTTCGACATCCTGGGGACCTGCTCCTAATTCTGCAAACATCTGGGCCACAGCGCCGTCTAAACCCTCACCGCAGCGTTATGATGACGACGACGATGACGATGACGACGATGATGAAAGCGATGACGACAGTAATGGAGATTCCTTCTGGGATGATGCTGTCAAGGCTGCCCGCAAGAGCCGGGAACAGCACCAGCCTCTGCCACAACGGCAGCAGCCAAAGCCGAGGTAAGTACATTTGAGAAAGAAAGAAACAGGTGTTGAAAATACTGATATTCATCAAAAAGGAATAATAAAATTTTGTCTGGATGTGGCACTATTATTCCTGGAAGTACTCACTAAAAAAATGAAAAATATATCTGTATACCAGATGAATTGAAGGCTGCTATTTCCCTTCTTTTTATAGCCACCTTCAAGCCAACAAGATGCCTGATAAACGAACAAACAGAGATGAGGTAAGCGGGAAACGCTAAACAATCACAGTGAATGACGGACGTTCAGTTTGCTCTCCTTGTTAGCGAGAATGGCCAGTTTACCGCTACATCAAGGCTTTTTATGTTAGTTAATTTTTACTGTTGTGGTTTTCGTTGTAGGAAAACTTACGGCGACTCTTTCAGAATCAATCAAGTGCTGACGAGTTTTCTCTGTGGTGTGACCAGGCTCTTCGCAGCTTAAATAATGCCTCAGGAGTAGACAGTGAGTTCCTGTAACCCTTCAAATTGTGTCATTGACGTATTGTCTAGTTCACCAAAATTTTCGCTTTTGTCTTATACTGTGGATGATTTCGTTCTAAGAGTATGGTATTTCTCGGCGTTAGCGTGTTTTCTTCCTTTACCTGCAAAATCGTAAGCGTTATATTAAATGGCAAAGCTATAAATTGCTTGTTCCGTGTAGACAAAGCATCGTTGTACTCGAACATTACCTCTTTTTATAGTTGTGTGTATTGATATCTCGTTTTCATAAAGTTTCTATGGTTGTAACAGTTGTATCATCAACGTTGGTTTTTTTTTTCCTGCTGTGAAAAACCTGACACTTATGTAGAGTTCTTTTCTATTCCAGTTCCAACGTTTTCAGCGTTTCTCAAAGATATCGAATCACCTTACGAGGTTAGTACAGCTCTATTCCACCAAAATCTGATGAAGCTCGTGTTTACTTAATCGGCTTTGTTTGTGGTTCATTGTGAAAAGTTGTCAGAAACTTAAGCATCATCTTTACCAGTCTTTCAATGTCCACTTTTTCTCCAGGTTTACGAATACGTCAAGTCTTATCTGGGAGACAATCGAGATACCAGAGAATTTGCTCGGGAATTTATCGAAAGACGAAAGAAACAGAGAGACAAAACTGCGGCTTCTCTTCCGAGCTTTCCTCAAGTAAGTATAGTGTGTTTTCTGGCCTAGCGTTTTCCTGATATAGTTAGATTTGTCTTTTGGGCGTTGTTTTTGTGACTTATCTTTACTACGGCCTAGGTCAGATCTCGAAACTGGCCCCAGCAGAAGCAGTAATCTTTTCAAGCTCAGGAAACCAGTATTTCTAGCGGAAAATGCGGGAACCGGGATGACAAACAAGTTAGACTGAAAGCGCGGGAAAACAGCATGACGGGTGGCAAGCGCGGGAAAATTCCCGATCAGTTTTGTTCTCGCGCGTGATTGGTGGAAATGACATCTTTTGTCTGATTGGTCAGGGTACTTGGAACAAATATGGAGCTTACCAAACAGTCGGATGGAGATGAAGTGCGTTTTCACAGATTTGTTATTTACGCGTAAAATGCTATCTCGCGTGGAAAGGAAAAGTATATTTACTGTTTTTGGCTTTAGTTCATCAGTTTTGTTCTTGATTCATCGCAGGCCAGCGTGTGGGGTGCTCCTGTTCCTCGAGGGCCATCTGCGGGAAGGCCAACAAGTGTGAATCAATCAGGTGCCTTCTTATCGGGGCCAGTCCAGGAGGACCCGCAAGACGCCATGAATAAAAAGAAGCGAAAGAAAAAGATGCAAAAAGTTGATCCAAGCATCCTGGGATTCAGTGTCAACGCAGCGGATCGTGTCAATATGGGAGAGATACAAACTGTCGAGGATTAACCGACACAAAGACTTGCTAAGAAATACAATGAAGGCGAGCGAGCGAGCGGGCGAGCCGCGTCCAGCAATTGTCCGAAGAGGAAAAAATGTTTTATATTTAGACAACACAAGGATTAGTGAATTTTAATAGCTTACCGTGAGGAACGGTGGAGAAATATGGCGACTGTACAAACTGTAAATGGCGAACAACAGCTTAAGCCTTAATATAGCTGAAAATATTTTCTTGGAGTAATTTCTTCTCTGAGCCAAAAAGAACTTTTGACTCTGCGTTGTTTCGCGACGTCCGAGAGCGTTTTTCTTTCCCGTCAGAACGCGCACGGCACGCTTTGCACGCCCTTACTCCCGCTAGGAAGCTTTGTGGGGTTTTGGTGGTAGATACTGAATGCACAGCCCTTTGTCAATAGTGCTCGGATTAGTGGAATTTTCTGCTTTTAATCGGCGCTCGCAGCTTTGCGAAAATTGCATGATTACGTAAGTCAGTGTCTTAAAAAGTTACTCAAAAGTAGCCCCCCCCCCCCCCCCNCCAGTTCTAACACCATCCGACAGCCATTTAAAGATCAGAAATCGGCTGACGTGGTTCGCAGACAACTTGGCCACCTCGGAACGAAAATTAATCAGCAACTGCAGCCAGTGTTCACGAACAAAAAGATCGCTGATCATCTGAGAGTCATTGAAAAAAGCCTCCCCTGATAAACCAGCAAAGTGTAGTATACGAATTCACATGTGATTTGTGCGATGCAAATTATATTGGGTACATTTGCCGCCACCTCCATCAAGGCGTAGAGGAACATAAACATTCGGTGATCGGAAAACATTTTAGGGTCGAGCAGGCCTTAACACCTGACAACATAATTACGAACTTAAAGTCCTCAAGAAATGCCGTGACAAAATCGAATGTTCAATCGTTGAAATGCTGTTGATTAAAAGCAAAAGACCAAAACTGAACACGGAAGCGGATTCCATTCGCGCGGAACCTTTTAGATGAATGTTTTCATGTAACGTTTGCTTATTTCATTTTCTCACATCCTACTCCTAGTACTATAAATATGCCTTGCCGTTATTTTTAATTTATTCATTCGACAATGATGACATGAAGTCGTCGAAACGTCATGTAACTTTACTTATGTTAATTTTCCTGCTTAAGTGTTTTTCGAAATCGTTTTTTAGAGGAACTTAATTTGCTCTAGGTTAAACTTAATATTCAAAAACCTTAATTTGCCTAGTCTGTCCACAGATGGGTTTTTTTATTTGCAAGCAACAGGAGCGATCACGAAGCAGGTAGAAAAAAAATTTAAATAGTTTGGATGGCTGATGTCAGGTAGTGAAAGTTCTTTCACATCTGGCAATACCTAGCCCAGTACTCTTGCATCTCTTCTTCTCAGAAGCTAACAATAGGCTATTGATATTCATGTCCTTAAGAAACAGCAAGAAGAAGCAAGAAGGAAACAGGAGGAAGACTTGAGAAGAAAACAGGAACAGCAGGAAGCTCTCCGGAAACAGGAACACCAACGGCAGCAGATGGAGCAACAGAAACAGAAAGAGGAACAAAAGAGGATGAACGAGTTACGACAACAGCAACAGCAGGCTCTGTTGCGACTTCAGCAACAGCAGCAGGAGCTGCTGAGAAAGAAAGAGATGCAACAGAAAGCTGAAATGCAGCAGCGAGAATTACAGCAGAAGTTACACCAGAAGAGACAGGAGAGTCAGGTAAGAACATTCAATTTAATTAATAACGTAATATATCAAGAGATCAAGAGCGGTATGGTTTCAATACCTGATGGGCTTGTGGTTAGCCTGCAAACATAGACAAGTTGCAGCTTTTGTTTCATATATTTTTTCGGAGCTTGAAACGAACTCCAGAAACTACATCATTCTGTGTTTGCAGGCTAGCTCTTGGGTTGTTGAGAAAGTTCTTCATATAATCAGCTTCTAATCTGCCGGAGTAATCCAAATCAGAAATGGTCATGTTTTTGTGAAAAAATTTACGGTTGGCCCATCAGTGAGGCTTCCACTAACAGAAAAGTGTGCACTTGTGTTTGTGTGCAGGCCAATTTTGGCTTAGTTGATTAAATTATTCCAACTGATGTTCAAATTATTCAAAATAGTACCACTAGAAATATATGGAAGAAAGTTAGGAGAGATCAAGGCTGTAATACTAACTTGGTTCCTGCAATGAAGCCATGTTTGGAAATAGTAGCTGTGCAGATCTAGTACTAAGACAAAATGCCAGTGTTGTACATCAGCCTGTGAAGAACTAATAACTCGACACTTTTTATAGGTGTCTGGTGGATCTCTGTGGGGTGCTCCTACTCCTGTATCAGGGACCATGTCAATTGCTCAGATTCAACAGCAAGAGGAAAGGGACAGACAGCAGCGAGAACTTAAATTACAGCAGCTCCAAGCTCAACAGCGCGAACAACAGGCACGGGGAGTGCCAAGCTGGGCAGAGAGGCCTGCTGTGGTGAACCAGCCTGTCAAGTCATTGCTGCAGATTCAACAGGAACAGGCACAACAGCAGAATAAGAGACAACAGGGACCTGCACTCTCTAGACCACAGGTGAGGAGGGAGAAGCATTGGATCACTGTAATGCTACTCCCCTAAATTGTTTTCTCCCCAGTTGTGAGCATGTTTTATTTTTTTGGTTAGCATTTAGGCTGACTGTAGTGAAACAAACACGCTGTGCCACAAACATACTGGGCCTAATGATTAGCATGTGTCTACGCGGTCAGGGTCATTGTGTTTTGGGTTAAGCACTTTACTCACTTTACTCTAACAGTGCCTCTCCACCCAG